GTCGTGCTGGGAGACACACACACATACTGCATTTAGAGACCTGCATCAGGAGTAACACATACTAGAGCCAAAAAGAACCTTAAGTGATCTCAGTAGAGTCAACAGAAAAGGAACACACACAGAGACACTTCTAAAGGTATATGATTAATTCTATTCTGCATTAGAATTTTAAACCAACCTAGATTCTTAGCTGCCATATTTCTGATTTTCTGTTGCTGAGGAAAGAATACATAAACATGATTTCAGTTTCTGTAGTCAGTGCAAACAAAGCATAAAAAAAATGCTGTCATTTTCTGGGAACAGTCATCTTTAAAAGCTAGCTTTTGGAAAGGTAGTGCTGTATGTCTGACTGTCCCAGATATGTTAGTGTAAGTAGGTGACTATCGTATGAGATCAGACAAAATTCAAGTAACAAAAAAGACTCTCAATACATTTTTGATGAACAAGTTGTAGTAGACCAATTATAGCAGTGTTGCAGTTCCCAAATTAAGACACAAATGCCTCCGAAACGAAAGAAAAAAGGAAAAAAAAGTGAAATGCATGTCATATGGAGTTGTTGTTATGCTATCTTATACAGCAGCTCTACAGGAGGCCTCCCAGTGGACCTTACCTCCTCCTCTTTAAGCTTTTGTCTCCGCTTTTCTTCAACAGCTGCTCTCTTCTGCTCCTCCCTCTGCCTCTGTTCCTCCAGCCTCCGCCATCGTTCCTCTATTTGTTTTTCATATTGAAGTTTTGCCCTTCTCTCCTTCTCCAGTATCTGCTGCTCCCTAGCAGCTTAGAGAAGGAAAAAAGGTGCCTTTCACTTCATGCAAATTTTCTCCTGCTTTAAAATTGTTTGATAGTATGACATGATAGAGTAAAATAGCCAATACAGATACACAAAGTTTTAGTGCCCTAAGCTCAAAAGCAGAGTGCATAGAAGTGCTGCAATGATTAGCCAGTCAATCGATCCACTAAGTAGTAGGGAAGACGCAAGGTGACAGCGTGCCCTCTTACCTCTTTAAAAAGAGCATGCAGAACAGTAAAGAACTCTTCTTTTGTGTATGTTTCAAATCCTTCTGCAGCTATAAGACCAAATTCTTTAAATATAACACGTCCCCAGTAGTTTTTAAAGTGAAGCCATCATATATGTTGAAGCAAAAGCCCTTGGAATCTCCTTAAAACTATCCTTCTCTTTATGGTGCTGTCTTCAAAATAAATGCTTGAGAGGCATTATGTTAAACTTCCCAGGAAGTTTTGAGAATACACTATTTTATTAATAACTTTGTGTTAAATTGTTATCCACTTCTGGCACTTTGCATGAACAAAATTAACTTTTATTATTGAGAATTTGTCCCAGTTGCTTAGTCTACCTGTAGTTTTAATCTTCTTCAGCGATATTAAATCTGTTAGTAGGGAAATTATAACTGCAGCTCTATAGACAGGACTGTTGCTTCAGGTTTACATAGGGAAATTAAGTAGCAGAGTAGTTAATGTGATAAACCATGAAGAAAAAACAGCTCTCATGCAAATGTGTTCCATTACAAGGCAGAAGAGGAGGAGTTTAATAAGCATGCTTTCATCCACACAAGCCTGTAATATCATATACCAACATACATACCACCAGTATGAAAGAATATTATCATCACAGTTGCCTACGAACTTGAAAGTCGAGGAAAGCCAGAATTAACACCGTTCATACAAAAGCTGGCCCCTTATTCTGCTCACCTCTTCAGCTTGGTTTAATACTGGAGCTGCTGTTTTCGTGCCCAGCAAATCCACCCCACACACAACAAACTTCCTCAGATCACTCCCCTGCTCCAGCAGTCGTTTCCATTCCCTCTCCTCAACCCCAGGGCTCTTTATCCACAGCCTTCAGTCATCCCTAGCCCCCATCTGTCCCCAATGCCCCCATTTCATGTCAGTGTCCCCCTAACATCAGGTCTTTCTCCAGTAGTTCAACTTCTTCCCCTAGAAAGCTGTCTCCTTACAAGACCTAACTTCTTCCTCATGCCCAGACTCCTTCAGGGAAAACCAAAGCCTCAAAGCCATCCACTTGATAGAAATATGGTCAGTGATGGCTTCCCATTTTGCCTTACAAGAACTTGCTGTTTTTCTTTTTTCTTTTCTGCAGGTCAGGAGAACCCAAGCCTGGATTCATAAGAACGAGCAACCGCAGACTGGTCAGCAGATAAAGAGTCACCTCAGAGATGATGAAGGATCAGTGACCGGTCACTCACAGTTAATGACTACTGGCCAGTATGTCACACAGAGCTGCTGAAAACTGCATGCTGGAGCCAGTTAAACAAATAAATAACATCAGGCGTCCAGAGATTAGCATTTGGATTACCTTCTAAGTAGGTGAAACCTGGGACTGATTCTGGACTGCAAACCTTTCTGGATTCTGGAAGCAAACTATTCTGTCATCACGGACATGTTTTCAATACTCACTCCTTAATTTCATTTAAGGATGTGAAAACACTAATTAATGAGTTTTGGCTTTGATGAGAGGGTTATTCCCAATCGCTGCAAAGCACCTGCTGGCTACATGGAGATCTGTCTTTTGGGGAACTCACTGGGCAGCTTCCAGAAGAGATCTGCCACAGCAGACGTCTGCTGAGGCCAAAGACCAGAGCTGCTCATTCTAGAAATGGGTTTAACCCTAAAGAAATAGGCTTCCAGAAAACACACAAAGGAGAGAAGAAATGCATTTAAAACCTCCTTTTCCTTACCTTCTCTGTGCCAAATCCCCTTGGCAAGCCAGTCCCAGATTTTCTAGCTTTCAGCTTTCCTCTCACCCGGTTTCTCTTCCACTTTTTAATCCAATTCCTTTTCAACCTACTCATTGTGTCACTTTCTCAGGGACCAGCAAAGAAGGAATAATCATGAGGACAGAAGAGCGAGGCTGCACTGAGCACACCTGCAGGAGATACAAGCTACTACTGCAGGGCATGTCAGGTTTGCTCAAGCTGGTGCATTCCCCACATAGACAGAACCGCAGGGAAATTTAGCTACTAAAAACTAAGTCCCCACTGAGCATTCTGGTGAATTTTCACAGAAACTACGAGGAAGCCTCTTTCTAACTAAGCCCATGTCACTAAAAACATCAAATTTCTGCTCTCAGGACTGATGTTTTGTCAAGTTATGGTCACAAGCTGTTTATTTGTTTTGAGAAAGGCTCTTTTTTTTTTCTCCTATGATTCTTTTCAGAGGTGTCCTTGCTATTCGAGTTAACATTTTCTCAAAATAACCCTATATTCAGTTTGACAAAAATCATAAAACACTGGCAATTTCCTCTAATAGATATAGTCAGGTAATCTCAAGAAACAATGCTACCAGGCTTCTTGTTATTATAATAAGGAAATAGACTCTAACACTTCTTTTTTTTTTCTTTTATTTTATTTTATGTGCGTGTATGCATGTATTAAAAAATATGCATGTATTAAAAAATACACATGTATACACACACATGTGCATAATGTAAATGAAATTGCACATTTTTCTCAACATTTCCCTGAAAGCAGCAGTTGTGGATTAAAAGCAAGAGACAGTACTTCGAAGACTCTGAAATCAATGCTTCCATCACTCAAGAAGTGAATTTATGTATTTTTTAATCTCTTACATAGAATCATAATGGTTGGAAAAGACCTTTGGGTCATCAAGTCCAACCGCAAACCCATCGGAAAAACACCTACTTTTATGGCTATTACCAGTTCCAAGATATCTTTTAATAGGGCTAAAACTTACTAGGCTAAAACTGAGAATGTTTCAGCAAATAATCCTACCATTTAAGTATTATTCAAGGCTCTTTCAGTATTTGCACAAACCAAAATCATAATGGTCAATATGTGGTACATAGGTCTATATTCAAAAGTATATCTGTCAATGAGGAAAATGAACTTCTAACTATAGTAAGCAGCTGAATGGAAACTACAGGAGCCCTTGGTCAGATTTATTTATCTGTATATGAGCCGATTTTAAAGAAGTAATTGTAAGCCAAAGAAGACTCACTGGCTCAGGAATAGCCTGAGCTACAGTATTTAAAATTCAGAACAGGAGAAATGTCATGTTAGTAACTTAAGCCCATTAACACATACACATAAAAAATACATACGTCCCCAGCTATCTTACCAAGGTATTTCTCCCTTTCTTCTCTCCTCTCCTTTGCCAGTCGTTGTCTTTCATCAGTTTTTAGGAATCCATCAAAGGCTGAAGTCAGAGAGAAAGGAAAAAACTGTTAGCAAAAATAAAGAAGTACACAGCATTTAGCAACATAATAAAAATGATATTGCAGGTCAAGGGGCATTACCAAGTTGGGATTTGTATACATCTTGACAGCAGTATCCTAGCTAACACCGAAGCCCATAATGTAACTGACCCCCCTTTATTAAAAAAACGCCAGTGACTAGGTATCATCTTTTGTCATAACCTCATTTTCAAGTTTCTGGCTCGAATTCGGGCAGTTTAGGAGTGCAGCCAAAGCACCACAGCCCCCTGGCTGCCCACGGCTGGTTGCTGTGCGGGCGCAGCCGTCGTGCCCATGGCCGGCACAGACACACGACCTCCCCGTGGCAGCAGGCGGCAGTCGCTGCGGGGGAGGCTGCGGAGGTGCCTGCACGCTCTGCCCGGGGCGACACCGGGTTCCCTTTCACAACACGCAGGTAAAAGCAGGCTTCTTGTTTGGCCTAAGGTCAGCTTTGTACCCGGATGCAGACGGTGCAGTTGTTGGCACAGCGTGACCCACCTAAAGGTGCAATTTAGCGAGGCAAACTGAGCGCATGAGGTGCCTCGCTTGCCAGCCCTGGCGCTCTGAAGGAGCAGGTGGCAGAGCTTAGCCAGGCTCCTGAACAAACCTTTGGAAATAACATGGCCTTCCTGGATGGGCTTCCGTCATCGTCTTGATAGACCCACTGGATGATGCCATCCTCGAGCAGCTCTACCCTTACAAAGCCATTTACAGAGGGCCCTGGTGCCCTCATTTTTCTCCTTGTCTTCAGGATCTCCTGGGGCCAAGCGGAGCTGCAGCGCACACAGGCAGCGTTTCACATCACATCCTTTGCAATCATTACTTGGGCTCCCTGCTGAGCTACTGTATAATTAAATTTCCTTCCATTTTGCTCTAAGACCTGAAGTTGCTATTTTTTTTTCTCCAGATAAGTAACTTTTCTAGTCCTGTTTAAGTTGTAACTGTTATTTGCTTGCTGAAAAGTCATAGTTCCAGGCTTCCTCTCCGAGAGCATCCTGTCTGTAGATTTTGCATAGTAAAGACCTTCCTGTAAAATGCACAGTCTTCAAGGCAGTTTAAAATACAGCCTTCCCAGTCCCTTGGGCTGGTGCAATTCCAGGAGGTCTCAACAGAAGAAGTGCAATTTGAAGGATGAAAACCAGGATGGGAATAAGTAGGAGGGAGAGGGGGGAGGCTGTGGAACAGGGGCACAGTTCCTGCTCATGGACCACATTTACAACCCCCTCTGGTCACTCTCATCGCTCTCCTTTCAGCAAATATTTATGAAACCCCTTGGTAAAAATGTGTCCCTTCACGCCCATCATTAAAATTACAGCAAGCTGTTATCTCTACTTCAGTTCCATCATAAATGCATCTGGCAGAAGTGATCTAAAAGCTCCAGCCTTGTCCATGGCTGCTGTAGGTATCCAGGCTGATGCACAGTGACAGGGGCTGAAACTTCTGCACTTCTGTTTTTTTGTTGTTTGTTTGTTTTAAGGTTAGCTTGCTTGAATAGGGCAGAGGGTGTTATTTATTTGTTTTAGGTCAGAGTGTGGATGTCTCAACCCCACCCAGACAATATTAAGAGAACATGAAGGCTGAAGTGCCAGATACTTAGGAAATTAAGATAATTTGCAAGTAAAGCGGTTCGTGCCCCTTATCTCACCCCTTTTTGCAGATACATTAGCTGGCACATTTCTCCTTTTAGGCCTGCTGGCTGAGGTAGCGTATAAGACGAACCTGCTCAAGGGATGAATCAAGTTTGCAGCAAAGGAAATTGTGATTTACGTTTCTTGTTTCCATTCTTTCTGAAACAGGACAGCAGACAGAAAGGCCTGTAGTTTGAAGGCTGTCCTGGGAACCAGCACTCTATACACTTGACTTTACCACACACAAAACCACAACAAAAGCATGGAGTAGCTGCTCGTTAAATGTGCAACACTTCAGCACAGGAAAAAAGTGTGGAGAAAACAGCATGCAGTCTAGTAAATAGAGACTTCATACAGATACACAAATGCAGAAAGAGTAGGATCAAAACAGCACAGGCTTTAGCACCTGATTTTGTTTGGCATTCATTTGCCTGCCAAAACCCAGAAATTTGCTAGCTTTAATAAAGTCAATATAATTTGAATAACTGCTCCCTGGGTAACCGCTTGGTGTCTAGATTGATACGCTAATTCTGTCAAAAATGTTTAAACATCTACTACACATCTTTAGGTACTATATATGGTAAATGTGGTGGGCATAATGGTTACCTGCAGAAGGAAACAGACTGCAAACAAGAGGCTAATGAAAACTGTTTTTTTTTTAATTGTAACTTTATAATTAAAATCATAACTTTATTCTGTCTTACTGTATGTACTATTTCTAGTTCATAACATGAACTACCAGCAGAGGGCAGAATAAGGTTTGAATTTAAAATGAAACAAAAAACACAGGCCACACCAATAAAAACTTCTACTATGATGTTAAAAATGGCTTCAGATTAATATTCTGTGCACTCAGCTTTATCTTGACTCTCCATATTTATGACTAAGCCTCCAATTCGCAAGAGCAGAGGCATGCGGCAGTGAAGGACACATATAAACACAGGCTGGTTGTGCCTCCTTTAACGCTTCAATGTTACCTTGACGTAAACATGTGTGAACTAAACACCGATATGTTGATCATGGTCTCAACGTGATTTGATGGGCAGCATAAACCTCCTCAGCCTGAGGGAACGGTGTCTGATCCTGCTCCGCTCCATGCGCTGCTCGTGTAGACTTTCGAAGAAAAAAACTTGGCTATTGCTAGGCTAGGGACTGGAAAGAGGGTGGCCGTGTTTTGAGGAGACACGAGTGAGCTCTTCCCGTTGACATCCGCATCCTGACCCCAGGTGCTGAAGCCAAGGGCTCTCCCGTGGGGCATGGTGAGAGTTGGTGTTTCAGGAGGGCCCGCCAGCCGTGAGCAGGCAAGGCCGACGCACCGAGCGCGCGGCAGGGATCCCTTCTCCCAAACACACCCGTCGGCGAAACCAAGGCTTTGATCCCTGCAATCTGCTTTCTCCCCACCAAAACTGTTCTTGAGATCCTAAAAGCAGTTCCCCATCTGCCACTGCTTCCCGCGGAGCACTAGCAAATGAAGGAATTTCACATTCTTCATGTTGTCAGTGACAACTGCACTCAGAGTGCAAGACCCCACGGGCTGGCTCTAGATGACTGCTCCTCTTTGCAAGAGGTCCCGTCGCTCCTCCACTCTCAGCACATCGCAGGAAGGCTACAAGGTACAGCCTGCTGGCAACCACCCGTAAAGTTACACTTTTTTGATTTTTTTTTTGATTTTCAACAACTTAATGTTATTAGTTAATGCTAATGCAAGTGAAGTCATTAAGGGTAGATTCATCTGCCAAACCCAGCGACGTTTCAGACACCCTGGGCTAACTGCCTAGGACAAGGGCTGGCAGATACAGTGGGGAGCAGATACACACTACACATGCAATAGAAACAAATAACTTTTAATAAAAGATATATTAAAGTATACCCAGGTAGTTGGCTGATCACATTAAAAAAAAAAATCTGTCTTACTGTATGGCGAGGGAAAACAACATACACAGCCATATCCAAAGCCCCATGGAGACGCCAGTATCCTGCAGACACAGCACCACAAGATCACTTGGAGAGCTGATAAAAATACATTAGTTGATCTTTTTTATTTATGAGGCACTAGATTAATAATTTAATTTACTGAAGAGGTCCCTATTAGGTAAGCCCCCAGCACGCACACGCATGCAGTGCAGCAGCAGCATGTCAATACCTGCTCTGTAGTGCTGTCTTACTCAGAGTCTCTCAGGTACAAAGGAGATGGGAGACTTAACCAGGCCACGCCAGTCCCCCTCCCCTACATGTAACACACATGAACACTTCTAGCTGTAACTGAAAAATACACCAGACCTCAGGCAAATTTTTATTTTCTTGCCCATTTGGCTTTACTAAAAGGGCATGTAAGCACCAAAACACTGCACAGAAAGGGACCTGAATAGCAGCAGTTCAGCTATAACTTTGGTCTTTTTTAAAAAAAAACTTCAGTTTCTTCAGAAGACCATTATCGATCATTTATTAATACAAGAATGAAATATTTAACTCTCTAAGCATTGCAGTTCCTTTAAAAACTGTATATCCCTACCTTGGTCAACAAAAGCTCTAATCTATCTTTTCAAAGGAGACAAAAAAATTGTCTTCAAAGAGAAAAGTCTGCACATGAACACGTTATCATGAAGAGAGCGGTTTCTTGAGTAAATATAGAAATTAAAACCAAACTTGTGCTCTGAAACCTGCTTGGTACCACATCCTGGGCACACTTGAACACAGCAACTCCATTCCACCGCTGATTTTTGCCCCCAGCGTGTGACCGTAGTTCGGGCAGTGTTTCTCACACATAAACCTTCAACAAAGAATGATTTGCAGCAATCTCGGGAGCACTGTTCCTCGGGAAAGAGCGTCCGCCTGGCACGTGGGCACACGCACACGTGCTGAGGTGATGGATACGCGCGTCAGGCTTCATAGGCTGCTGAGCAAAGCCGGTGCAGAAACATTTACAGAGGCTGAATAGAGTGAGGACCATCTCTCCATCACATAAATTATATTAGGCTCCCTTTCCTCTCCAATTACGAACACTTACTCTCCAGAGAGGCTCAATTCCCAACGGAAGGGCAAAGGAGACAAAAGGAAGGAGGTCCCCACGGATTATCGAGCACCTGCCATCCCGCAGTCCGTTACTAATAGCATCACCTCTCTGCCAGGAGACAAATGGGCTGGGAAGGGTATTGTATACAATTTTAATACAAATAACACGTTCACTCATGTAAACATTAAGTGCTGGGCCCTGGCTAGCACAGAGCTCTAAGGGTAGCTGCGAATGGCCGGGGTGGGAACTCGCAGCTGAGAGCCGAGCACAGGTCTGCTCCACTCCTGCTCTCCCCAGAGTCTCTGGAATTGTACCTGCTTCTGCC